TGCCGACCATGAGTAGGGGGTGGGGGTGATTCCATAGCTTGTCGTGGGCAGTCTTCAGTGTCGTGGAGATCAAACATGTCACAGATATCACAGAACACACGTGGAGCTAACATGTTGGGTTTTATGCCATTTCTGAAATTAAAGTATGAAAGTGTTACAAAGACGTGTTGAAGTAAATAAAGGAGTATATGAGGTAAAACAGGACCTATAGAAAAACTATAAGACAGAATTTGAAACTTTACACACGAGCTTATAATAAGCATTAATTATTGTTCACCCTAGGGGCTGTCACTTAATTTGTAAGTCAATTATATTTTATGTATATATTTGTCACATATTCAATGGATAAAAATATTTCATAAGGAAACTAAACAGTATAATTTAAATTATTCCTCAGACATGAATTATTTCTGAAAAATAGGGAGAAAGTTACTATAATGAATAAAACACCACCTGAATGACAATTGTAATGTTTAACATCAAAACAAAACCTATTCATATTACTTAAACTTCTATCAACCACATCATGGCATAAGCATAGTCCAGGTGGCCAAGCATCACTGTAGCATACTGCTGAAGCATTAAAATCCAGAATTAAAGTCTTGCTGGCAGCCAAGAGTATGGGGATTTAGCCCTATTCTTGATTTACGAAGGTTAAAATTCTGTGGTTTGTGTGTTTCCAAGTGAACCAGTGTTTAGAAAAAAAGCACAAAATTAGAGTCTTCTTGCAATCAATGAACACATGAAGAATAAAAGTTAAAATTTTAGGTCTTAAAGGCAGTGAATATGTCAAATGTGATCTGGACTGTAACATCACATAGTCTTGTAGGTGGTTACCAACATTTCAGGGGAATGTTTTTTTCTTTCTCAAGAGAGGATCATGTGAAGATTGATTATCTAGGTGATAGATGGGGGAGAAGGAAGGGAAGGGAGTGATGACATGGAAGGGGAAGAAGAAGAAGAGGCAATATCAAATTACTTCTACAACTGACTATTAGTTACCAATCTGTTATTAAGATTCTGAAATCACAAATGATAAAATCTCAAAAACTGAGTGTTGATCAAGAATGTTTCTTACAAGTTTAGCTCATCTGCATCAGCAGGTGATATTCCAAGCTCCAGAACCTCAATGCGAGCCTTCAAATCATCATTTTTACGCTGAAGATCAACAATCACAGAATTGAGGAAATCAATTTGGCCTTGAGCAAGTTCCTTCTCCTCTACCAATTTGTGATGTGTGGGATCTGAAAAGAAATGTTATGCTTTGTGCAATGAAGAAGATTCTGTCATCAGAAATAATATTCTAGTCAATGAAAGACTCTCGGGCAACAAGCTGCATCAGGTGGCTGAATGGTGAATGAACCATTTCTTCTGCTAACGTTTTGAGAGACACCTCTGTTCTCATCCTTAGGGCAGATGTGAAACAAAACTGATCCTATGTAGTGCGCTCACTGACAGGAACTGCTACATAGGACCAGTTACATTTCGCAGCTGCCCTGAGGATGAGAGCAGAGATGTCACTCAAAATGTTAGCAGAAGAAATGGTTCATTCACCATTCAGCCACCTGATGCAGCTTGTTGCCCGAGAGTCTTTCATCAACTTCAGTCGCCACAAAAGCTTCACTTTATACAATATTCTAGTAAGTTTTAACAGACCAGTTGCTAATGAAGCTTTCCAGAATTGATTTTAGGATATGCTGTTATAATTCTTTTGGATCATTTTGAAATCAGATGGTGGGCATCTCTTATTTTATAAATAACTCAAACATCATGATTTGCTTCAGCATCCACCAGTTGGTCTTTGTAATGCTGAAGTGTTGTGACTTCATTCTTAAATATTATTTAGGTCAGCTTCTGCTTTAAATGGTTGATATTCATCACTTATCATTTAATTAATTCCAATGTTCCATCCTAGCTGGAATAAAAATCCAGTAAAGTGTGATTAGAATGCTAAATACCAAGCAATATGGCCACTCACAGAAGTATGAGTTACACTGATAATGTGACAAATTTACAAACTTTCACAAGTATAGTATTTTGAACACAGCAGATGATAAAAATTCTGTTCTTTCAAGGAAATAAACTAGTCAGAATATTTGTGTCATCAGTGAAATCAGCATAGAATTAAATACTTAAGTGGTGAAAAATGTATACAAAGCATTCAAATTCTTTTATTCAATGATTTCAAAGAAGCTTAGAGAATGTTATTAGTAATAATGTGTCATATCATTCAACACATGCATTACACAACAGTACACTGACATTTAAATATAATTATACTCTTTTCTCTATATCTAATGAAGTCTGGCTTACCATCACTGTTTGCATTAACTTGTGATTGTACAACAGTCCTCTGCATTTCTACTACTTTGGTTTCGAGCTGCTTCTTTTCATGTTCCAAAGTTTCCAACAAAGTTTTATGTTGTTTAACCTGTGCCCTTTCTGCCAGTAAAGAAGAAATCTGAAAAACAAAATTTACACTGCATAACCTGTTTGTAACCCTTGAATTCAGTTTATGTGGTGCTACTATTTTAAGCATGGCTGCAGGCATTCACATACTCTCATTTCAGTCTAAAACCTGTAACTAGAAGAAATGTTTCTAATACTTTTGAGCTCTGAAAGACTTATCCAAAATTCCGTTTTTATTCCCTTTACTTCTGATGACCTAATGCCTCAGAGAAATTTTAAAATCTGTTTCTGGTCTAAATTTTGTACTGCTACAAACTTCCATGTTATTTTTATTTTAAACATAGAATTATATTCTGATGTCTAGAAAACAAATAAATAATGAGCACTGTACCTCAGCTTTCTGTT